TCGTCCTCACAGCCACAAAAACGTGGCGTCAAAAATGACACCCGCACCTACTACTACTACTACTACTACTACTGCTACTACTACTGCTACTACTACTACTACTACTACTCCTGCTGCTACTACTACTACTACATTTTTAATCGTGTTACTACTGCTGCTGCTACCACCACCACCACCACCACCACCACTACGACAACTACTACTACGTAAGAATACCACTCCACCACCTCCACTACGAGGACCACCACGATTACTACTTGTTGCTGCCGCTGCCACTCCTTCGACGACTGCTACTAGTGCTGGTAGCTACATGCACTTGCTAATCGATAATGCTCTTCCTCCTATTTCAGTTTGCAACCGCCGGCGGAAACATCCTCAGCGAGATTTTACGTTAAGGCAGGTTTGAGAAAGAAGAGTCAAGACCAGATGGCGTGTTCTGCATTGTCCAGCAGGAACATTTCCTTTTTGCAGAAGAGGCCTGGCGACAAGAAACGCATTCCAATGGCCTTCATGCAAACATCGTAATGTGCCGATGTGGCCTTCAAAGTCTGACTTGGCTGGCTGAGCTCCTTCCTGAGAATGCTGCTGTGCAAATATTGCTTTATGACACTTGTGGTCCTGCCCAGAAGTCTAGGGGCCTTCCAGAGGTATTGTCTGCAGCCGACTTCAAAGAGAAATGTGCACGCGAACCAGATGTTGTTGAAGCGACCGACGTGGCCGACTGCCCGGTTGAACTGATCCTGCAGCATTTGCTGAAGTATGGTTCCGACGAGGCAGCATTCCTACTCTTCTTGCCATCACTTCCACCAGTGGAGCACGAACAGCAGCTGTACACATTGGTCGTGAGGAGCTTGGCCCGGAGGATGCTTCGTGCGGACTTCGTTCAGCTTGGGCATACACGGTCATCGCCACAAGCATTGAACTCCTGCCAACGAGCTGTTTTGTCAGAAGCTGGCATCCATGGCCACGTAAGCGGGTATGAATCACCCCGGTTTGTTGTCAGTGCGGAACGCATCTCAGTGTCACTGCCACGTGCTCGTGTGATGTTGCTTGCCTTGGAGACTGCCACTGAATGTACAGGGCAAGCGTGGGAAGCCATTATGCGTGGCTTGTGGCATACTGTCTTTGGAGAGGCTGCGCTGCTTCCAACTCGTGCCGACAATGCGCAAATTCCTAGTTTTTTGCGTGTGCTTGATGGCCCCAGCGGGTTTGCCAAGACCAGGATGCCAAAGTCGTCTGATTATTTAGATTGGGCAGCCACCGCCTTGCTTGAGACTTGAGCAGTGTGCAGAGGGGCGTTTAATTATGGGCATGTACATGAACTGTGGCCACCGCCTCGACCTTAAGCACAGACTTCCGTGGTCCTGCATCGTGCGGTGGCAAACTGACTCGGGTGGGTACTGATGGCAGATGGCAAATGACGATTATTGTACAGGCCCTTCGATAAATCCACTTGACGACCGTCTTCGACAGTTGGCTTCTAATGATTCTCAAATCAATGAAGCCGGCGACGGTTTTTGCATTCTGCTTCAGGTGCCCGGGGCCTGAGTGAGATGTTGGATGCCGAAACTTCCCTCGAGCAGAATCGGCCGATTACTCGGTGTCTTGAGCTTGCCATCGGCTGAAGGGTCACGCCCCCGCGTGTACAGCACTTTGCTCAGATTGGCAGAAACGGAAGCGATATCAAGGTAAGAGATCCCATTCACTGCAGTTGAATCCCTTGCTTCCCGGATCGCAGGAACACGTCGCGCCGGCCGGGACGGTGCAAAAAGCAACCGTGATTGACGCGTGAATGACTCTTACGTGCTGTCGGTTCGCGGCAGACATGTTCAATGGAACCAAGACATCGGCGCTACAACCACAGGCTGTCCAACGACAGCGGCCGTTGTCTTGTTGTCTAGAGTGAAAGTTATCATCAACATGCGGAGCCAGTAGACTTTGCCCGGTTTAAGTTAAAGATGCTCGGTAACTAGGGTTATTTCTGTTTCAGCATGTTGCAGCTCATATCATCGTAACGATGCTGGTAGCCATGGCTCATGGTCTTGGCGGCAGCCTCCGGCTGTCTAATGCTAGATTGTTGGTCTTCCAACCTGTATCCTTCGATTTTCAGCTTGTTGCTGTGAGCCTGTAGATTCCTTTATCTCGTAATGGCATCCTGCTCGTTTCTCATGTCAGTGTCATGTTGGAATCATAATTTACGACGTCTACACGCTTATAGACGGAGCTTTCTCATGACGGGCATATCCGGCTACCGGAAGATCGTTCGACCTCGACAGTTTTCAGCAGTGCAGGCCGAACAAGGAGATGGTATGCCTGCATTGTCGATTTGGAGCTTGTCGTCATGGGGTTAGAGGAGAGCTTCAAGTTCTCCAGGGGCGCACGGGTTGCAGCTCATTCGCAGACGGAAATTGTTCATGTGTGCAGTGGTAAACGCCGAAAGCGGGGCTCAGCGCTCGAAGTCGCGTCTCCCTGGACATGAGAGAAGCTCAGTAGATCAGCGGTTGAAATCCATAGTAGATCCCTGTCGTTTGCAGCCCATTGGCATTCAAGCGCACGAACAGCCGGCAAGACATGGCACGGTTAGGCGAGTGGCTATTGTAGATCTGCAAGGCCCAAAATTAATTTTTCAAAGCCATGGCACGCCAGAAGATTCACATCCTGCACGTGTCGCAGCAGGCGGTCGTGGCAAAGCTGTTGCAGGTTCGTTAACACTTGTGCCGGCTTCTTTCCACTTCGTGTTTTGCCACGGGCGCGGTAAAGTGGGTAAACCCGGGCGATATGCACGAACTCTGCCTTCTTGTGGATCGGCTCGCATGTTATACCTGAGGCCAGCCTAGGGCTTTACTACGTCGCCAAGGCCACACGCGATGATCGGGCGGAGCGACAAAGTGGAGAGGGATGCGTACCACCAAGGTCGGCATCGAGTGTGTTGGGAGCTGCTGTTCGACTTGCTGAGGTTGTCGGGAAGGCAGGGCTGCTTCTGGCAGCTGTGGATTCGGATCTGTCGCTGATGCCGGAAAAAGTTCAGAAGCTGGAGCTGTTCTGCGAAGTTCTGGTGCCGCGGGTCGAAGCCATAGCGGGCGAGGCTTCTGTTGCGGATAACCGGGCCAAGAAGGCAGAAGAGGAAGCTGCACAGACGAACCGACGGAGTTGGAGCGACTGACAAGATCACTTCGTCACACATGCACGGCTGCAATGTGGCTGCAAGCTTCAATTTCGAGCCTTGCCCCAGCTTGCAGGGGTTCGCATCTGATGAAGGCAGTAGTGTTTGCCAAATCCAGCAGCCGACGCGTCCGAGAGAGGTGCCTTGCAGCGTTGTGTCAGCGGGTCAAAACGCTGAGGCTTTAACAGGGCCTGGGCTGCCTCGGTGCGACAAAGGTGGTAGCAAAAGCTGCTTTTGAACTTCTGCACCCTAACACATCATCGGAAGTCTGAGTCCGATATGAACCAAATTAGAAGCTGGGCGACACCCGTGAGTGAGTGCATGGATCTGGCCGACGCTCAGAATTTGTTTTGGACAGGGTCTTTTCCTGAGTCTGGACGACGGCTGAGACCAGGACCGCTGCGACAAATTTAAGAGATCATGGGCTGGACCTGCGTCGAAAATGCACAGAAGGCAGCATGCCAAGTCCGAAAGCCTCAGGGCACTGCTAGGCAAGACACATGTCCGGTGATCCACCACATAGTTCGATGCAGTGATGAAGCAGCCAGAAGAGAAATGCTATGATCTCACTGCTTGACTTCTGAAGCCAAGGTTATTTCAAAGCATTCCAGCGCGTGTCGATCTCCCTCGCCGATGCAGGCCAACACATCACGGTTGCTGATCGCTGCGCGTGGCGGGTAAGACCCCGCGGCCCATCCACAGAAACGGAAACGTTATCAACCAAACCACTCGGCCTCAGAGCATCGCAGTGCACCAGGCAATAGACTGAGATCGACTCTATATGAATTAGGTAAACTATACAAAGAAAGCACGTTCGCCAAAACTCCAACGTCAAGGGCAAAAGAGGAGAGGGGCCCTCAACCGGAAACGTGAGCGGACAGGACGTAAGCCTGGGTAGGCTTCGAGCTAAGCTCTCCTAAAGGAGGCATGGTTCCGACTAAGCGTCCATCTTGCGCAGTGGTAGCGTTGCTCCATGAGGGGTCGACCAGAACTGCAAGACAACAGCCTCATCTCACGGCAGCCGTTCCAAGCGGCACTACAGGAGGATTCCGGCAATCTGGAGTCGGGCTTCGTGCACAGAACACTTGATGACCACCGTTCGGGTCCCCCCCCAAGGGAGCGCTTCCTCTTTCCAAACCATCCGAATCACTTCTTCATCAAATGGGTGGACGAGAGCCAGCTACAACTTGTTCCATAGCATGAGGTCCGCCTGGCAATCGCTGCCACGTGCGAGCCCCATCCTCACCTTCTAACCAAGCCCACTGCGGCGTATAAGTTGGGCAAGCCATCGCGGCAGTCTCCACAAGCCGTGGAAAGGGTTTCGTGGGAGGCGGCGGCTGCAGCCGCGGACTTGGAACGAATGTTCACCTGGATTCCGCGGGCATGTTGGCCGATCCGGGCTCTTCACCCTCCCAGGTCATCACAGTGGCGCCATTCGGGTAAGCTGGCCGAAGAGATGTGCGGAATTTGCACCACTTTGCTGCATGTATTCCCCCCAATGCGAAATGGCACAAGATCTTCAGCAGCGCTCCGTCCTCTGCCGTGGTGATGCAGACTGCGTGTGATATTGATTGATTTGGCTTTCCACATCCATCAGCAGTGGAGAATTGGCACCATCCAGCACGCAGTCAGCCAGCAGTCCAGAGTCCAGAACCTGCAGCGCATGGAGCACGTTTGCAATAAGCAGCACAGGCTGGGTGGGGAAGTTGCGCACAACCTTGGGACAGCACGTTGAGCTCAGAAGACCAAGATCCTGTCCCAGATGTTTGACTGCGAGCACCGCGAGGGCTGAAGTTCTGGGAGATGTTCCGGACGGAGAGATAAAGCTCTGCTTATCCCTTTACAGGCGAGCTTGCAAGCAGGTTGCTAGTTCTTAACCTAGTGGCATGCATCAAGGCTTCGCTGCTCACCATGCGGCCCTGAAAGAGGGCCTGCCCGAAAAGAGGCTCAGGTCAATGGCAGAACCCCAAGTATCGAAGGCCCGCTGTGCTTGAGGATTGAGGATAAGATCGCGCCCGTGCACTCTTCCACACAGCCCTCCGGGAACGGTGTGAGAGGAGTTTTACGGTTGACAGACAGGGAGGTCCATTCCTGGGAGCACGTGACTCGTTGTATGGCTGGCACACGACCACGGCCTTAATTACGAGCTCCAACGTGCAGCCTGCAGGTCCTCCCTGAGCTTCTCTGTACACCGGGTCTTCGTGCCGTCGATTCTTTTCTAAAGCCCAGCCTCGTAGCGTCTTAGCTGCGGCTTAGCTCCACCTTTGAAGTGCTCGCTGGTTGTGTGCACAGCCTGTCGCTTCGTCGGCTTTGGCTCTGCAGCCAACACCCCCTGGATGGCTTCCGGTTTGTCCGTTTTGGACAGCGTGAGCTCGAGGGGCTCAACCTGTGGCTTGCAGGCAACAGTCCCTGTCCGGGTCTGCTCCTACGGCTTTAGCATCCCACCCGGAGGCGCGAAGCAGTCACGAGGTGGCTAGATAGAGAGACTCATGCAGCATCGCAGCTGATCCTGCTCCTTTCAGAATCTTGAGTTGCTGCCGAAAGGACGTTGCAAGACATGCAGCTTGGACCGCCATGGACCGCCTTGTCATAGTTCCAGCAAGCCCGACATGTACCACTTGACAGCGACAGGAAATGCTTTGGCGCTTAGTCCAGCGTAGAAGTCCTGCACTTTGTCTAGTGCTCAGTGTAATGAGTAGATACCTTTTTCTGAGAAACCGCACCGTTTTCTCGGCATTGCTCAGGTCTGACCATCTTCAGGTCTGCTTGTATTCGTGTAAGGCAATATGGGCCTGCGCAGGTTCGTTGTTGTGAGGGCCTGTTCGTTGCAAGCCTTTGCTACGTGCCAGTGGCCACAGCTCTCTGTACTTACAGCTGATTTATTCCCGGCCCGGCGTAACTGCCTGCAACGTCTGCGAGCTTGAATTCTATGCAGGTTCTTGCTTTCATCCTGTCTGAGGCGGAGGGCTATTGTGCCCATCGGGCATCGGAAGTTTTCAGAACTTTGTAGGATGTCGGAGTCGGCTGTAGTTTCGGGGGTGACAGGACAGGACGTGACCCAAAGCTGTGCACATCCTACACATGGAGATGGATCCGAGATGATGGTTTGCTTTCGTGCTGCTGGGGCAGTCCACGCCTTTACCGCGAGCTGTGTAGAGCCAGCCCCCTGCGCAAAGCTCCCAAGATGACTCTCAGCTTCTCGCCGATTTCCTTTTGCATCATATCGTGCGTGCTGATGGCCTTCCGGCTTCTGCACTTCTGCTCTCAACCGAAACCAGGTACTGGGCTTGCGGACGTGTGTCTGCTGGGACTAGCGGGCCTAGCGTCTGATGGGTTCCCGGGACGTTCAACCCGCATCAATCCACAGTTACGTGGGACATTCTAAACAGCAGACGTGTGCTCTCATCGCCCGCCAGCTTGGGGGACTCTCGCAGCAAGCTGTGATGCTGTGTGTGCTTCATGATGTGACACCCCACATCTAGTTGCAGAGGCGGTTTGGTGGCAGCGCTACTGCGACAATGGCTCTATTGGTACAAAATCTGCCCGGCCATGAGCTTGCACTTCAATATCCCTGCCCTGACCGAACAACTTCAGAATCCGTCGTGTGGTTTCTGAGCGGCCTTCGAGGGCGCGGTGCTCGTGCTCGAATGCTTGACCCCCTTCCTTTGGCAACGCTGCCTTCGTGAAACCCGCAGTGCCGTTCTTCCTCGATGGTGTTCGACTTAGCTGCTGCTTTTGAAATGGAGTCCATGGTAGGGTAGACTAGGGTAGCGTGTTGGAGAGCGGATTCCCATAGCTCTTGATCATATGCAGCTGCCCTTGCCACCTGGTTTGCTAGAGCCGCTCGCACCCATAAGAACGCCTGGAGGAAGGGATAGGGTTGAGGTCAACCACTTTTTGGTGTCTCCGAACTTTTGCGGGTGGATTTATCATCACTCAGGACTGGGTTGAATCTGTGTGCGGGGATGCACAGGGTGTAGCCTAACCTTAAACCATCCCGGGCTCTTCGTCTCTGGTCAAGCAAAGATCCCTCTTTCCCTGCAGGATGGCGTTTAATTGCAAGGAAGCTGACCTTGACTCCAAACCTCGCAGAAGTCTCCCTTTGTTATCTCTTGCCTACACTGCAACAATTTTACAAGGCCGGCGCCGGTTGAAGGCCGGCTTCCGGCACCCCAGGGACTTGCAGTCTGCCAGCAAGCCCTTCAGCCCTTGCAGATGCTCTTGCAAGCATCTGCGCTCCAGGAGGCCTCTTGGCTAATGCATCGCATGGGTCTAGTGTGCGGCTAATTGCCAGCTGAGCCAGTCTCAAAGCTCCTTGCCCGTACTAGGATCATCGGGACATGGATGCTTCGGAGCCTACCCGAAACCATGAGTTCGATCTCAGGCAGGCCTTCCGGGTGCAAGCGTTCTGGATCCATCCTATCATTCTCCAACCAAATATCTGGACTCCAGACGCAGCTCCAATCCCAGGACCTTATCCCAGATGCTCGCAGACTGTGGCTCCTCTTTGCACTGTACAAGACCCAAATCCAAGCCCTCTGCATGAGCTTCACTCGAAAAACTTCAGACCTACAAGAGAAGGCTTTGCGCGTCAATGTTCGAAGTCTTGATGCTGGGCATTCTAGTTGCTCGAGCCACCAGCCCAAAAGTCGGAGCGTTTGATCCCAGTGGTCCAGGAGGGAGTCGTCTGCTCGACGCGTCCTTCAAGGCCTTCGGCTTACCCAGCTCCGGTTCCAGACTTTTCGAGCCCTTTCACGGAACTCGCCAGGGCTGCCTTTCTTTCATCTCTTGTGTTTCTCATTCTCGCACTGCATCGCACTGCGCACATCCGAATCAGGCCACGTAGGCTCGCAGTGTGCTGTCGCACCGCCGCGCATCCGAGACCGGCCAAAGCTTTGAAAAACCTATTGCAGTTCCAGGCGGTGCCAAGTCCGCTTTGAGCAGTGGCAGTGGGGGAATCAAACTCTGCAAGGGCCGAAGTCCTGTGCATGCTGAGCTTGGTGCGTACCCTTTCGTCTGAA